TGAGTGCACGCACGTGGACAGATACGCACATGCGCATAAACTTAAAACATTTTCAACAAGTGTTTCTTCTTTCCTATTATTACCTAAAAGCAGGGGAGCATTTTTTTCTAATTGCAGTGATATAAACAAGGACCCGAAATCTTGTATACTCATTGCGAGGATTTAGATGCAAAGATGCTACAAAAACTACGAAGATGCTTTTCCTTTATTGAGTAGCTGGAAGAAGAAGACACCATATTCAAAACACCATGAAGCCACGTTTTGAGTTTCTATAGCTATAGAAGAGCTTTACTCTTAAAATTTATGTATTCATTTAGGCATACATATGGACTCTTGACAATTCTCTTTTCTATGTTTTAACACTTAAAAATTTTAAAACTGTCCCTATTTTTACTCCATAAATTAAAACGGCTTTTCCAACTAACTTAGCTTCTTTCTTAATGGAATTTCAGTCTTCCTGAGTCAACCCTATACTTGAGCAGGGCCGGTGTATCTTAAGACTCTGCCACAGCTATGAACATCCCATCTTCCTTCCTGCAATCCCTCTGGCCGGAAGAAAACCGTTATCAGCAGCCACATCAATTGGCAGCCTGTGCTATACACACAAAGGGCAGCAGAGGGAGCCAGCGGGGGAAATCGCTGAGAAAAACCACTCCAGAAGAGCAGCTTTAGTTGTAGACAAAGCAGAGAACAGAAGACAAACTAAGATACTCAAAGAAGCCTTAACGGTGTGTGCAGAGCTGGCGTGAGGGCCTCTGAAATGAACCACTGAAAAACCTTAAGTCACTTCAAACGATGCTAGAGTTCCAACTTCAAGATGGACCTGCAGTTTGAAGCCCAATGATTTCCTGCAATGCTGAGCTGTCAAACAGCACCCGAAATTCGAGAGCAGAAGGAAGTAACAACTTTATGTTGAGAGCTTCTAGGGAGATTTCAAAATGATTTCATTTTTCTCCTTCAAATATCACTGCACTTACACGGAAGACCTAGTAACATGCGCATGAGGTCATGAGAAAGAAGATTGTTACAGGGTTCCATGGCAGAGGGCCTGACTCCTGTGGATACTCTGTTGTCCTCAGTTTACCCATGGAAGGGCTGGTGTTGACCAGAAACACCACTAAAGTATTCTGCATTTTACAGTATTTTACCTTGAAAGTATTTTAACTTTGCAAAATCTGTGTAGAACAGCAAGTGTCCCCAAACTAGTACGATGATACTATATATGTCCTGAAGACTACGAAGGCCTATGTTTTCAGTTACAGCAGGACAAAGTAGTGATGTGGGAGTAATTTCTTATTAATAAAGAAACTGCCTAGACCCATTTGATAGGCCAACCCTTAGGTAGGCGGAGTAAACAGAACGGAATGCTGGGAGAAAGAAGCTGAGTCAGGGAGTCGCCATGATTCTCCCACTCCAGACAGACGCAGGTTAAGATCATTCCTGGTAAGCCAGCTCTTGGGCTACACAGATTAATAAAAATGGGTTAGATCAATATGTAAAAGCTAGCCAATAAGAAACTAAAACTAATGGGTCAGGCAGTGTTTAAAAGAATACAGTTTCCGTGTAATTATTTCGGGTAAAGCTAGCCATGGGGGCAGCCGGGTGCTGGGGACGCAGCCCACCGCTCCTAATTACAACAAAGTAGTACCTCATTTGGTCTGGAATTCTAAACATGAACTTTTAAAAAGCCTGAACATCTACTCGGAGCTTCAATGTGTTCTAGTTATCTATGGGCAACAAAGTCAGTTATCTACGAACTACAAAAAATCTATGACATGCACAAATCCCGGCCAAGAAACTACTCTTGGGAGGTAAACTACTGAAAGCAACTATTTCAGAAAAACAGGAACTCAAAATCTGACTTCTAACGCTTATATTGACCATTCAAATAAATTATTATTATGTCTCAATTATGCTAAGGAAATTGAAGCTTAAAAAAATGTTTTGTTTTTTGTTTTAGAACTCAGTAAGTAAAGAACAAAACTCTAACTGAACTTTCAGGTCTGTCTCTCCACCTCCAAAGCTCCGAGGTTTCACTAAAATTGCCCTCAATTGTAGCAGTGAGGTTCCGGGGCCAATCTGTATAAATCTTAGGGAGATTAGTGTACTTATGAGGGTAAATGCCATGGATTTAATCACTCAAATTAAATGCCATCTGGAATCTCTTACCCCCTGCCCCCAGTACAAGCATCCCACATGTGGTACGGCCAGCCCCGGTCTTGGCCGAGAAAGCAAGCATATTCTTGTCCCCACATTATCAACCAGCAGCCTACGTACACTGTGATAACAATATGGAAAATACAGCTAGTTGTCTGTTAGACATCACTTTAGAACTGCTCATTAACTCAAATTTCTTTTGTCGCGAACTTTCCAATATATGAATTATTTGTTAGCAGGTTTGAGGACCTGGCTTTCCACTTTCTAACTCTCAAATCGCCTCCATAATAAATCATGTCTCTTATCAGTTTAAAATCTTAACTTGTTATTAGTGAATTATTGTGTTTTTTTAATATATTAGGGAAAAACTTTTTTCAACTTCCACAGAGGAGACAACTGTCCTGATCTCTTAAGTCAAAGGAAAATGAATCAAATACACTGACTGAATATATAGGGAAATAAATTTAGCAACCAAAAGTAACTTATTGGACAGATTCTCTCTGGCTAGAGATGTCCCAAGGAAGCTGTTCATATTGCTAGTCCAAAATGAAGGCAGGATGTCACTCACATCTCTCGGTTGACCAGTTGTTCCAACCCACTCCATTACTGGTGGAAGCGGCTTATTCCTGCCCTTGTTTATTAAGCAGAAGGGTGACATTACAACCTTTACCAGGGACTTTTTTTCTAGGCTAACTTTCTCATCTCTGAAAGACCATGCAAGTGGAACACTAGTTTAGAAATGAATGAATTTACAAAGAAATGAATAGCTTCGACACTAAAAATTCAAGCAATGGCTAACGGAGCCAATGTGAGTATAAAATGTGTCACGTCAATAATCTTTCAACTTTGAGGCATAAGCATAGTGGAATGCGTTTTGAAAAAGTATCCTCTCACTTTACATATATCTTACTTCAGCCAAATAAACCCATCTCCCACACATCTTGTAGCAGTTAATACAAAGTTTGAAGACCTTTTGCAACAAAGAGTTAAGAAAGACAAAGGCCTGTCTAATTGGAATTCCTATTTTAAAAAGGTATTATTTTGAGCAATAACTATGACGTAAAGTTTTCGGCTTAAAACACAAACAGAAGCCACTTCACAGTTTAAGTCACGATACTGTTCGATCGCCCATCAATTATTCAACTCAAACGCAGGTTTCAACACTAAGACTATGGATTTTAAGGAAAGTAGTGGCTCAGGTGCACAAGAAGCGCTGTCGAATTACATGCAAGCACAGGCGAATGCCTGCACCTGGCAAGGGGCTTTCAGGTTCTGAGCTGCAAAGAGACGCGAGAATTCAAGCCTACTGAGAAAGGCCCTCTCAATATATGAACACTGGTCATATTCAGCACATGTCTTCGGCTTTAAAAAGCAAACTGTCAAAAGGAAATGATTCCTATTTTATAAAGTTTGAATATGTTAGTCAGATGAGAACAATGGCCCTGAACGCTGCTGCAGGGAGCAAGAGTCCCAGGACGAGACCAGGAACTGGTCATTCCAATGGAGAGCCAAGACAAATTTAGAAACGAGGCCCAGGTGACAAAAAGCAACAAACAAAAACAATCAAGAATGCAGATTTGATTGCCGACATGGTACACACCAGCAGGCCCATGGGGTTAGCAAGTAAATATTTTGGGAGAACCCCCTTCAGTTTAAGGCCACTTTTCATTTCAAACAACAACAACAACATTATCTCCGTGAACAGTGTTACCAGACACACCAAGCCAGAGGCTGGCTGACGAGCTATGGCATTTTTATAAAAGTCTGCAGGAGAAATAAAGCAGGTGGGGAAGAAACTACGCTGAGCTCGCAGCAGGAAAAGACACATTCAATAAACGACCAGATACAACCGGTAAAATGTCATAACCCTCCTGACCTTGTAAATAGGTGTCCAAAACTACAGAAATAGCTCGAAGAGACAACTCCGTCTAATGGCCACATGTCCTTACTGACTCTTTCAGCCCTTTGTATCAAGTACACAGCTTTCCTTGGCCCCCTAAGCCAGCCGGTCATCAAGACCACATAATCTCAATTATTTCTTTGCATAACCAAAGGCATAGAGCACACACTTGTGTCGCTGTTTTAAATGCAACTCTGAAAGTACCTTACCTTACCTCCTCCTAGGCTACTGCAAGGCAGCCTGACGCTGAAGGTTACTTCTCAGCCCCCTAAACTCCATTAACTGCCAAGACTAGCAGCACCTTGGCACATAGGACACAAATGCCCAGCCGAAGCCTAGTGGTAACTAAATGACCTTAGAAACCTGGATTTGGTCTCTCCAAGGCTGAAGGAGACAAAGGCAGCATAAAGACCCTTCTAACTTCGTTAATATCCTCTGTGGATGCATACCGGGGATAGAACATTTATATAGACTATTTAAAACCCGATCTTTAAAAGGTACCCCGAGAACCAGAGAAATGGCAGCGAAGGTTGCAAGTTCAGTGAACTCTGCTGAGTTTGAGCGAGGTCAGTGGTGGCGTCCTAAGTGACTTCATGGAGTCCTGCAACTCTTATTTTCAACCAGGGATCTTAAAGCAGTACCTTTGATAACATGCAACGCCACCAGACCCTACTGGGTTTCTGCTGCAAGGGCAAAGTGTCACTCTAAGCCCTTCGTCCTAGGGATGCTAGAACTATGTCAAACTTGCTGTTGTAAAGTGTTTTATCTAGCTACAGGGAGGCATGTAAACAGGAACCTCCCTCCAAAGGAGAAGAACAGCTAACATGCAGTAAGCATGACAAATTTCTCTGTTTCCCCAAGCCACTGGGATCGGTGATTCCCCAGAGTGGGAATCAGCAGTCTAGCCGCGTCCCTGACACCCAAACCAGAGCGGGGGGCTTACCTTGTTGGAGGCCATCTCACTGACGGAGTGCCTGGTCTGCAGGGTCTCTAGCTGGTCCAGACACCAGTCCAGCTCCTCCAGGGTCTCGCTGGCCAGTTTCTGGTAGGCCTCCTCTGCGAAGAGACAGGGAAAGGGGGACTCAGTTCTCAAGCGCTTCACGGGACCACCAGCGAGTTCAAAGGGGGCCATCCTGCCGTACCCCGCCATGCTCGGATGCCCGGTGCCCGCACATGAGGGCTGCTCCTTCATATTGCCGGGCCCGGCAGCGCGCAGGGGGTTGAGGCTGGACTGGCGGGGCCGGGCTCAGGCTGGCCAGGATGCTCCAGCTTGACGTCGCGGGTCGGCCTCCAGGGAGGGGCGCAAAGTGCTGCAGGCCAACTTTGGCACGGCTACACGGGCGAATTCGCAACGGCGCAAGCTCGGGGGTTCCCTGCGCTCGCTCGCTCCTTCGCTAGGATGCTGCCCCTGGGTGGCGCGCACAGGCGGGCGGGGGAGGGAGAGTGGACGCCCCGCAGTCGGGCGAGCGGTCCAAGGGTGTCCGCGTCCCGCAGCCGCGCGACTCCACGCCGCCTCCCGCCGAGCCCCGCGCGCGAAGCGAATGAATCAGCCGCGGCCGCCGTTTCCTGTTTTGTCGCTCAAGTCCGCGGGCGGGCGGGCGCAGCGCCGCTCCATGCTGGCTTTCCGGGAACACTCCCCCTCGTGCCCCTCGCGGCCCCGCGGCGCTGTCTGGCTCCCCCCGGCGACTCCTTACGAAAGGATTCCGAATTGCAGTAGGCTGCCCGTGTCGCCAGCCCCGCCACCACCACCTCCTTGCCGTGGCATCGCCCCCCGAGGCAGCCGGCGCCGCTGCTTTGAAGCGCAGCCGGGAGGGAGGCGCGGCCGTGCGCGCGCGTGTGTGCTGCGCTTCTGTGGAACTGGTCTGCACCGGGCGGAGGAAAACCCGGCGTGGAGCGCCCGTCGCCCGCCACCCGGGGTCCCCGCGGGGCTCAGGCGGGGCTGGCCGGCCCCCAGCGCGCAGGCGCGTGCGGCCAACCGAGCGCGCACCTGCCCCGCGGGGACCCCGGGCCGGTGCACACAGGAGTCCCCGGGCCCTCTGTCCCAGCTCAGCCTGCCAGGCCTGGGCGTCCGGGGCATAAGCAAGGTGACTTAGGACAATCACTACCCTTCCTGCAAGATGAAGTTTGGGTGTTTCTCTGGGTTTAGGATTTACTTTCTTGAAGGGGCAGGATTATGAGAATAAAATAATTTCTATTAAGGGCAGACTGCCAATACCCAGCCAGCTCCTCAATATTTTAGTGTGGATGTAAACAGACAAACCATAGTGCTGTGGGGTCAAAATGCCTTCGAGCTTGACAATAAGCTACATTTCGTGTTTCCTAATCGTCGAGGAGTCACCTTAAGGAACAGCAATGTAAAGTAACCACAGGGTAAAATTTACACACGGCCTAGCCTGGGTGTCTCCTCTGCAGAATGCACAAGAACACTCTGGACTTGGGTCCAGGACAGAAAGTTTAGAAGTCTGTTTCTGCCCACTGTAGACGAAATAAACATCAGAAGCATTGCGGGAAAATGGATTCCATTGATAAAAGCTGACCTAGGGAACTTGGGCACTTTTCCTTAAGTGATCAGTTCCAAAACTGACCACGAATATTATTTCAGAATGAGAAAAGTCGAAACCCTAGGGGTCTCTCCCACAAAACTGTCAGCAGAAAGTATGGGGTCCTCCTTTTCATCTTCCAATCGACAGTATTGTGGAGTAAAGAAATTCTGTCCCAGTGTAGACTCCAGTAATTATTAGAGATAGCAAACAGTTCCGCGGGTTGAGTCTCAAATCTGGTATTTCCCTTAAATATATAAGTTTCAATAACTTCCAGACGGTGGTAGCCTTGCTACTTGGTTTGTCCTTACACAAGATTTTTGAGCTGTATGCATTTAAATTTCTCTCTCTCTCTCTCTCTCTCTCTCTCTCTCTCTCTCTCTCTCTCTGTGTGTGTGTGTGTGTGTGTGTGTGTGTGTGTGTGTGTCCATCATTAATCCCTGTAAATAAACCTTAGGTCAACAACTGCCTAAACCTTGCCAGGTGAATTGAAATTTAAGGCTGATGATACTTTTTTTTCTTTAACAAAGAAAACAATCAAAGACAATTTACAAGATGAGTATTAAGTTTTTCCCTGATTGTAAAACTGTAAAATATCACATGCCTGTTATAAACAAAAGATCCAAAACATAGAAAGTCTTTTGTTGACCCATAACCTAAAGATCTGGAACAATAAGTCAGCATTTGAATCCACTGAATCCATTCCATATATAAGTAGAGCGTCGTCTGGACACCACAGCAGTTCATTTACTATTTACTCTCACACTTGCTCTTCTCTTTCCTCTGCTCTCTAAAACAGCAATACAGCGAATCAGAGGAGGAAAGTAACTAATGGTCACGTGACCAGTCCATCGTTTGTACACCCAATGCATTCAGAGGCATAGCTGTTGTATTGACTCCATCGCTGCCATCTTTTCTGTTATCCAAAGCCAGCCATCTTCTACACAGCTCTCAAGCTTGGTGTTCTATGTCCCTGCTTCCTACCACCCAACTCTCTGAAAGCCTGGGTTCCCGGGGACCTCCCAGTGTATGGCAGGCTTTCCTTGCCCGCACCTTTCCTATCTTCATGAATGTTTCCTGAAATCAGAAGTAGAATTCAGACCTTGGTTCTAGCATTTGTGGCTCTATGTATTATATGTTAATCTTTATTTTTTTTTAATGTGGAAGATTAATTTGGGGAAAGTCTCAAGTTAATGCTTCAAGACATCCTGCGCTTCGACCCAAAGTTTGCCTGGGAGGGGGTGGAAGAGAGACATGGGGAGGAATTGTTTTCAAAAGATCTGCTTCATATTCAGATCATGGCTTAGTTATTGCGACTATAAGAAATCAAGCAAGATCACATACATAAGTTCCGGAGCCTTCCACATGCTCTCTCTCTAGTTAGAAAATAAAATTGCCCTGAAACATGTGTACATGTTGCTGAGGGGGTTATTTGCATACAGTAGGATAAACGAATTTCTAAAGTCACTGCTGAAATAAAGACCTGCTGAGCTAAGACTTTCTTTCTCCTAGACGGAGGCAGCATGGCTACTTCCAGTTTTCCAGGATCACTATCAAGTCTTCACTTTCAGGAATTTTAACCCCAACTGCACTAAGACATCGAGTAACTGACCTTTACACCCCAGTCCCTCCTTTGGGGAGGGGGACGCAATGTGGAACTGCCAGCTATCCTACAGGAAATTGAGTCACCACACCAAACAACACACCTAAATGTCATCTGCAGCTAGTTGGACAAAAACAGTGAGCCAGTTTCATATTGGCCTTCACCAAGAACACAAACGACATTCACTAATGAAATGCCCCCTATGGGGTCATATAGGCTGCAGCCCTGCTTAAAAATATATGAAAACTCTTCTATTTAACTGTCCGAATCTTGCTTTACTTGAGGAGCTAACGAAAAGAAAACACTTCACCAAACACTATTGGCTAAACTCCACGTGAACCGGGAAAGGGCCATGTCTCAGACAGCTGAGGAAGAACACGAGCGTTAGTGTTCTTCAAGGTACCCCTGAGCTGTGCGATACCAATAATGAATGCGTCTGCTTTAAGTCTCCTGAGTATAAGCAGTCCTCAATACTTGTGGGACAGCACTTGGCTTCCGTCATAGTTATGTGCGCAAGGGATCCCCTGACACATGGCCTGAAATCTTGCCAAGGGCTCCGGGAGATGATGCCGAAGCAGCAGCTTCTCTTTGAAAGGGAAAAACACCATCAACTCGGAGCCACAGGAGTTGGCTATGGGCTGAAGTTGTTTTCTTGTGAAATGTTGGGCCTATTACTCTTACCCACAACTTACTGTGATGTAAAACGATCCACACTACAAGACACGAAACTTGGTAAATGCTAGCTTCTTTGTCAGTGCTTGTGGGGCTAAAGGTCTGCATAAGTCTGCCATCATTCCTTGAGAGGCCTACTGCTACAGAGGAGGTCAGAGAAACACCCCAGCAGCAGCAAAACCACAGGCGAACCTTGGGTACCATTGGCTCCTCTCCATTGAAAAATTCATACAGCACTGTCACTGCTGACTCTGATTGTTTTTTTACTTAAAACAAACATGTCATACAGCTAAGAGAAAATGCTCAAACATGCCCTTTTAATGTATTCCAATTTCTCCTCACCCAATCCACGCTTAAGGGAAGCATTTGATGGTGTCTGGAGCGGGCAGACTGAGAAAACGACTTGGGCCTCACATGTGTGCTAATTGTTCCTCGGCTCTGCCATAGGAAAAGATCTGTGCGGGTCAGTTCTAACTTTGGCTGACACACTTTCCCTGTCTTATGCATTTTATCTGAGGGGAAAGATATGAAAAGGCCCTGGATTCTCTTTCGGTGTGTATATGAAGCAGGCTGAGGCAGCGTGCCCATGGCAAGCTGCCCTCATTTCCTAGGCCATTTGTGACATCAAGTTCTTGTTTTGAAGTATTTTTAAATTGTATAACATATATAAGCTTTCACTTCATACTTCGAAAAAAAAACCACTCCAAGTGTCGATACGTGTAATTTTCTGAGTCTCCCCCCACAACATTTTCCCACTAGCTATGATTTCTTTCGAAAGCTGCCGAAGGCTCTTGTAGAATTTTGCAAATGGATTGACTTCTATTAACTTTTACTCTGATCAGTAATTCAACATTTATATGGCACCATGTGTTACGAACTTTTTTAGAGTCAGCAGAGACACATTGAGAGCATGAGTGTGTAGAGTTTATCACTGAAGACAATTTTAGCACTCCGTGCAATGAACAAGGAAGGACAGACAAGGATGGACAGTGAGACGATAAAAGAGGGCTGTGTTCAAGTCATAATGGCACACAAGTGGGGTGGAGAAACCTTAGTCCTTGGGAAAGAAAAACAACGGGGTGGTTAATGCAGACTGTCAAGACCATCTGGGACACTGATGAGGCGCAACTTTGGATCTGGATCCGACTATCAGGGCTTTCTAGGAAAGCATTAACTAAAGGGTTAGAAGCCTGACTCAGTGAGAATAGCACTAGATCATGAGTTAGGGCCCCAGAGAGAAG